AAAGGGGGAGAGACATGCAGGAAAGGACCACAGGCCAGATTTGAACCTGGGTCGCCCACATCGAGGACTAAGGCCTCCATACATGGGTGTGTACGCTAACCACTGCGCCACCAAAGAACACTGCAGTAATCAATATCTTGTAGTTTTTATGGGAATGTGGATTATCAGATTAATTTGAGGACTTTTGGAAATTTTGATCTCTCATTTTATTCTAACAAGTAAGACATGCTGATCTTGGTCTTGACCCCACCTTAGGCTTGCTTAAAAAAAAACTTCTAAAGAGGTAAAGGTGAAAGAGGTTGGTTGCAGTGGCAGTAGGAATTTTCTTAATGCCAGAATGAGACCAACAGATTTTATTCCCACAAGTGGAGCATTTGTGCCATAGTGCTCTGCTTGATTTGTGTGTGTAAATAGTTTTATTATGGTGTACGAAGGGAATAATTCATGGTATGTGGACATTACAAAAAAAAACTTAAAGAGAGAAAGAAAAAGAAGAAAAAAGAGATATTGACAATACTTCATCAGTCTGCTTCATCGGTCAGGAACTGGAAACCTTGTACCCAATATTCAAGCAGACAAATTTGGATGATTTCACACAAGTCTTTAGTTTAACAGAAAGCGTGCGGCAGCTCGTAAGCTGGAGTGGATTAACGGAACGGAAACTCAGGTCAGTGACTCAAAATTAAAGGCTGGCAATGACTAAGAGTAATAGTCACTGACCTGGTTCAGTCTAATCCCAGAGGAAGGTTATGAATCCAAGAGCCTGAGCCTGTTCTGTATCTGTGCGTGTCCGCCTGGTCATGCTTCTGGACTCCATCTGATTCTGGATTCTGAACCTCCCTGAGCGCTCTGAGGATTCCTGTAAGCCCGGATAACTCTGATCCTGTCTGGGTCAGAACCTCTGAATGTGCGGAGGTCATCTGGGTTTCATGAACTGTTCCTGCCTGCTTTGATCAGCTTCCTGCAAGTCCTCCGGGGCTACAGCAGTGGGGACACCCTGGGTGATGCGTACCACGTCAGTTGGCAGTCCAGCGGCCTGATTGGTCCTCTTTCAGGGATTGGACTGTTCTGTTAAACCAGGTAAGTGACTCACTCTGATAATCATCTCCTGTCAGATGATCGTGGTCACTTACCTGTGTTTCTCCCACAACCAGAGTGTGTGATATTGGGCGGTGCCCCGCCCCCCTCCTGCAGTCGCCATGAGCCTTTAGCTCCTCAGCCCTGCGCCTGTGTACTGTCCTATTCTGTTTTTATTTTAATGAAAATTTTGAACTTTTCTACTGGCTGTCTCACCTTGAAAACTGGGTTCATCTGTCCCCTTTATGACACATCTGTGAACAACTGTCTTTATCAAGGACACTCCCAGGAGACTTGGGATGTCTATTACCAGCCCCCACCCCACTGCTCCAGCTGAGGACGGGCGGCTCATGGCTCTCTGCAGAGGTCCGGTCCAGTCAGCGGCCCAGCAGTCGACACCTCATACCCCCCTCCCTTGAGCCAGTAAATCAGTGGGCTGGTCTGTAAGTCAATTTCGGCACCTGACAAAAGTACAGGCCAGAACCAAATAAGGCAACGTCCACAAATTGACATCAATTTGGTGCTTTGTTTGGATTTATAGTTGTTTTATAGTGGAAGTTTAGAATTGTGAGATGTGCAGAGACAAGAGGTGTCGAAGGGGTTTTAACCAACTGAACTATCGCTATTCATCTATGAAAATGTAAACTCGGTTTTGCATTCTATGACCCCTTTAAAATGGGTCATCACAGTTTGGAAAAACTTGGTATTTCATGTGGGGTTCCCAAGGTACGGAAGCCGAGAGCGGTCGTACTAAACATTTTTTTTCCCTTTTACTTCTCGAGTTAATGACATAACTATCTTGTGATCACGGTTAACCAATTAATTGTTTTCAAGAGATAACAAGATAATTATCTTGTTGTAACGAGAAAACAGTTATTGATTTCTTCAGATAACGAGATGATTAACCTGCATGAGTAATGAATGAGTCTGGCTGGCCAAAGAGAAATCGCTGACTGCAGACCCCAGATTGAGGGGTCAACAGCCCTGGATTCCAAGTCCCTCAATGCTTGTGGTGCCTGTAGTTGTGCAGTCGTTGTACCGTTTGTGCGCAAATAATAATTTTTTTAGTTCCTTATTTCTTTTCACTCAGTAAAAGTATGTACTTCAGGTCAAAGTACTTCTCACTTGTAAGGTCATGGTGGATGATGATTGGGTTGCATGGAATGCAGTAGAAACAAATCTGAATGCTTTTGAATTAAAATTTTTAATCTGAAATCATTTTTGGGGTTAATGCATCTTATACCTGTTACAAGCGTAACACCAGGGTTGTTCAGAAAACACCCGGCGCTAAGGTGCCGGAGGCACAGGTTTAATTGCTTATGAATCGTAAGTGAAAGCTAATCATCAAACCAACAATGTTGTCTCATTACCTAAAAGCTGATTTAACTTGATTTACCATGTCCTTTTGGTCACATAATTGTAATTATTTTCTAGGGGTACCATAATTTTTGCCCAAGCCTGTTTCACCAGTTCAGTTTTTCAAGCCGTTAAAAAAAATGGTTGAAAAAAAAATGTCTAACTTTCTTTCTAACATTTTCATAGATTTTTTTTTTTTTTTCCATCAGATTCAAGTTATTTCGGTTACCAATGTGGGATTTTCTTCAATTAAACAAGGGGTACAAACATATAAGGTTTTCTTTGTACCAGTGCTAACATCAGTAAAAAAGTTAATCATCCTAATTTCCGGCATAGGAAGGATTTAATGCTTGTATCTGTTGTGGGAAAAAAGACAGCAGAATGCAGTTTTCATGCTACATCATTTTTATTCATTAAAACATCTGTAAGAGGAAGAAAAGACACATAATATGTTTTGCTTCACATTTTATGTATATGCTGGCAGTGGAAATATTTAGAGTACATTTTTTTAAATCTGTTATAAATAACAAAATAGCTTGATTTTATCATTAATAAACAGAAAATCCTTTTTGCAAAATAAACACACTGTTAAGTGAAAAAAATAGCATTTATCAGAAATGTCTCACTTCTCAATCCTGATTTTTTAGTATTTATAGGCCACATTTTTAACTCATTGATACACCAAAGAACAAAACACGTAAAACGGGAAACAAGCATCAAGAGAAAATTAGCATGTTTTATAGCATTATATATGGAGATATAAAACAAGGATGACCTGTTTAAAATGTAACCAGCTATTTGCTATTGACCTTAGCAGATAATAACTACCCTGTTAACATCCTGAAAGTAAACAATTGGACAACTGAAATATGAATAGAAATAAGAAACTGATTGATGTTCCTAGTCACCTTGTAGCTCACATCATGGTTTGGTCTCTGTGACAGTGTTGACATAGATTTGGTCTTCTTTTTCCTTTGGATATAAAATAACAAAAAATGGTTTTGTTAATTTTTAGGAAATTCATTTGAGATCAAAGTAATTCAGAAAGACTTTTTGAATTTCATTTTAATCTAACTGGATATAAAAGTGCAATTGTTTATTGCTTTATAACGTGTGAAGCTGTAGCTGAGCAGAGTGTGTAGGTTGTGAGTTTGATTCAAATGTCTCTTCAACATATTGTATTTGGAAGCATCTTTGGGGAAATGGTGGCCTTAGGGAAAATCAGGAATAAACCCAAACAACTGGCAATCTATTCCAGGCCCCATAAAACAGCCCACAGTATTAGACAAGGAGAGATGCCAACAGACCCTCCCAATTTAAAAAGATGAATAGAATCGTGGAATGGAAACTGCCATTTCAATGCTTACGAAGCACAGGAGAGAGCAGCTCTACCTCTCGGACTTTGTGTCTGAAATATTGATGAATTATTAACGTGGGTCTCACCTAACACAACCTCAACAACAGCTCTGTCTCATTACTCACAGTAAACCCTACGCCCCTCTATGAAGTGTGCACAAGGAGGAAGTGCAGTTAAGGGTTTGAGTGTGCAGGTTAAGAGTGATAAATAGAGTGCGCAGAAAAGAAGTCGAACGCCTGTTGTTGGAGATGATCGCAGATGGGTTTTTAGTGAGGGTGTGTGAGTTTATACGATTTACATTGTTCTCATTGCACGATCAGTTCGATAGCAGAAAGATTAAGCCATAGATGTTAAGCAGAAGAATACGAAATGCAAAGTTTGTCTGGAAATTGTCAGGACTACCCAAAGTAACACTTCCAACCTCCACCACCTACAGCGCAACCATGCTGTTGAGTCCAAGATTTGCATAAGACTGATTACCTTTGTGCAAAAATGTTTACCAGAGAGGTAAGATGTTTCTCCTGTTCAATGAGACATTATTGAATGTTTAAACTTAAATGGTTAAAAGACTTTTATTTGTAATTACCAAAAAAATGTTATGTGATTTGGTCAATAAATATATGAAAAATAGATCTGTTATATTTCCTGCACATGCCATTATTTTCAGATAGAGGAGCTGGACTATTTATCTTACATTTATTGTTATGGAGGTAAACTGCCCAATTTATTGTGATATTGATTTGAGGTCATATTGGCCAGCTCTAACTGCAACCAGCAGCCAATCTGCAACCAGAGGGTGAAGACACCTTTTATGGACAGACTATTTACTGCACCAGACAAGTGATGCTGTGACGGTTTACTACAGGTTTATGACAGGCCATAGTTTATGACAGCAACAAGCACCATGTCAAACGACGAATTAAGGGTTTGAAAAAAACACTTTTTCTCCTACTACTACTATTACTACTGAAACAATTGCAAATTCCTGTGTCAACGCTTTTGGTGTGGGTATGTAGCATCAGTAGACATCACATCCGTAGGAAAACGATGGAAATTAAGCCCCCGTATTGCAGCTTATTTTGGGTGTGCTCTTAAATTTTGGTTTTTAATGCTTCATCACCCTTTAGCATTAAAAAGATGACATGAATGTGCATACTTTCAATGCATACAGTCAATGGCAATGTTAGCTTACCTTCTTTGGTTTGTTGGAGAATCTGAACCAGCTGGAAGATAAAGCTTAATTTAAACACCACTACATAACTTAAGCTGCAAAGTATAAACAAATAGAGGATCATCTCACCACTCAAAGATGACAACCGTACTACAGAGCAGAATAGTTCCCAAGATCTTCAGTATAATATGGAGTCCAAAGACTGCATTATCTGTAACAATACAGCCTTCTTAGTTTTTGTGCTATGACTGTAGATAATAATAAAGTTATATTCCTGCTATTTTCATTGCTTTTTCTCTAAAAGAGCAATGAGTGAGAAAAGTATTGTAAAAATTTAAACAGAATCATTCGTTTTTAAAAATCAGTGTTCCTTAAACATTTCTTTCTGCTTTTAAAAGTAAAAGTACAGCACTTCAGTGTGTGGCCAATGTTTACTTCCTGGTTCCTGAGCCAATTACATGAGAGGTTAATGGGTTACCAAAACAGAGGGCAATATTTTGTATTTTCAGGAAGAGAAGCAGACCAGAAATAATCTCAACAGTACATAAGAAGGCATAAGAAGTGGCTGAATCGTCTTCATTAATCATCCCGAATTTAGCTGTGTTACAGTACATCCTTTTATCTTTTAATTTGACAACCTGCAAGACACTGTTTCAGGGAGATGACATGTCTTATGAGTTGTTCCAATTCAAAATTTAAAGTGCCAAGGTGCCATTATTACTAATGGCTCCTTTTGATACATTTAAAAAAACAAATAATTAAGCAATTTAGTAATTGTTCACTTGACAAAAATAAAGTTTAAACCTAAAACACAAACACATTTTATCAATATAAGAGAACAACATGAACCAGAGAGGTCTTTAAAGTCTCACCTTTAACACTAAGAAAGAGGATTGATGATCTCTGATTCCCTTGATCATTTGTAGCCTCACAGTAATACTCTCCATCCTCAGTGGCCCTGAAGCTATAAAAGTCACTTGTAGCTACCTTTTTGGTTCCATTTTTGGTGTTCCTGAACCAGGTAAAGTTGGCAGGAGGGTTGGCTTTGCTGGAGCAGCTCAGCTCCACCCAGCTACCTGCTGACACCAAACCTGATGGACTGATGGATGCTGAGGTGTTTCTGGGAGCATCTGAGGAAAATGGGGCACACGTGAACTTTATTGATCAGAAAAAGCTGAACCATGACGTGCTGACAGGATCACTAACATGAAACACTGAGAGTCACTTCTGTCTCTGCTGTCTTGCTTCTCCATTTATAGTGTATCTGGCACAACAGCTGATGTTGTTGTGCCTGCCTGTTCCTGTTCTGGTCTGTTTGCCTAACTTGTCTTAGGACTCCTGCTTGATTCTGCCTGTTAATCTTACCTAGAACTGATTCCTGTCAACTATCTGGATTTCCCTTCAGAAACTCTGCGGACCTCTGATACTTTTGGTTCTGAATCCAGAGCATGGCCTTGACACTGGCTTTGACTTTGCCCTTTGGATTGTCCTGCTTTCCTTCGTCTGCTTGGATTAGATCTTCTGCCAGTTCTGTAGTCTCAAGGCTTCTGTATCTGGAACTCTCTGTGCAGCAACCGCTTTGTCTTGTCAACCGACCGGCTGGATTCAACCTTGTTCTCTGGGCACAAACTGAACTATAAAACCATACATGTAATCAACCTCAGATTTACGTGGTCAATAACCTGTGTTTTCTTCCAGCAAGAGGTTCCTGCCTCAGACTCCCTAGCAGCTGTTACCGCAGATCCATTTTGAGATAAAAGCTTTTTTAATAATCCCACTGTCTGTCTTGTCTTGAATACTGGGTCCTCTATTCTGAGCCGTGGCAATTTGTGTCACTGTGAACATTGAGACCGGTATTCCAGTATATGACAAGTTTAAATTTTCATAGTTTCAGGAATTTCCCTTAAACATCTTATCTTATTCATGTTTTTCTGTCTTATTATTTAAACGTTGATGATTGAGTGTTAGAGAGAATCCTAAACATACATCATGTTTTTTTTTTTTTATTGACTCCAAGAGGTGGTAGTTCTTTTTTTTGGTCCCAACCTCTACTAGATCAAATTATGTCTACCAGTTTTGATAAATTACAATATCTGGCCAAAGCTTTCTTGTTTCTTTCAGTTTTGATCAAATCTGCTTTTAATTTTAATTTTGTTGTCTCACCTTTTACCTGTTTCAATCAATTTAAGTTGGGAGTTAATTTTATTTAATTAAGAAAAAAAATGTAAATTAAATAAAACATTAAAAACCTAGAGAAAGTTGAGTATAACAAAACATACATGTACATTTAGGAGAATTTCTATTTGCATGCAACAATTACTGATGGTATTGCCAGTGTTGTGCTAGTTCATAATAAAAAATTATGAGCTCAAAGTTCTGTTCACATAAATGAAAGGGAAGTCGCTCACGTTCCTTTTTCACTCTTTCAAAAAAAGGAACCAAGTTCACAACCTTTATGTAGCTGAGTAAAAGTTTAGGACGTTACACTGTACCCACCACTAGAGTGCACTGTTTAAAACCAGTAGTATACTTGAAGTAAATTATATTAAGAATACTGAAGTATAAGTTTAGAAAGTATACCAAATAATGTACTTTTAGTGTACTTGAAGTATTACTAAAGTAATACTTCTTTGAACTAAATTGGGAATTTGTTAAGTTTACTTAATTATACTTAAAGTATACTTTAGTAAACAATAAAGTAAACAATAGTATAGTCAAGTACACTTGACTATACTATTGTTAAGTATATGAAATATAGTTTCGAATAAGTAAACTCTAAGTGCAGTGCCTGATGAAATTAGTGCACTTTTAGTATACTTGAATAATGTACTTTTTGCTAAGGGATCACCAAGAGAAGGGGTTTCATTTGCAAACGATTCATTTGAAAGAAGGGTTACCGGAGTGCCTTCCAGGTGGAACATCCTGGAAGCAATCATTTCAATACATCAATGGACAGTTGGTGTTCCCTGTCATTGATAAGGTAACCAAAGCTATTTGTACATAATTTCTCCACTGTTGTGTCATCATTTTGTTTTCTGCACTGAACGTCTGTTAAACATGTCGTGTAGTGATGGGTTATTGAGGCATCTTGGAGCGTTTTCGACATATTGCAAAACTGAATTGATACTGCATTGTTACTGTTTCACTGAATCCTGACAGCTGCTGGAACTTTAAAGACTCTACAGGCAGCTTATTTGACAGACTAAACTGAATTGATTTGATTACCTAGTACAATTATATAATTTAAGTCACTTTACGTTATATTGTATTATTTCATATATATGTTTAAATTGAAAATATATTTGATAATTTTAGATGCAGCGAACAAATAATGTAAACATATATCATAAAGTGAATATTTAGGGGACATTGTGAATGAGGATGCTTGTGCACTAGGTTTTTAAATCATAATTTTAAAACAATAAGTACAGTAAAAACAGTAAATAAACTAAGACTCAATTTTAAATTAACTTTAACTCAGATAAGTTGAGTGATAACTGAGAGGAAAAGTATGAAACATCCTATCCTACTTCCTATTCCTTTAAGGCTTTGTAGTGGGAAAAAAGTATTCAACTATTTACGCTAGTTAAATAAACAGGGATCCATTGATTTCACTCGGTCGGCATTTTATTTATATCATTGCAAAGAGTGAACAGTTCATCATGCAGCCCTTATGGCACATCATTCAGCCCTGTTCTGCCTGGACCACGTTCATTCCCCTTTACTTACAACAATGGAAAGTAGTCAGAGTCAAAACAAATTACAAATTACTGGTCTACAAGCACCCTCACCAGAAAATGGTGTGGCCTTACAGGTGATACAGACTGAGTGAAAACTTTTATAGTGAGTA